CTCTCCGCAAACAACTATCAACGACGGATGGTATTGTTTTCATTGAGTCAGCCAGGTTAGGTTTCATTCGCTTATGTTGCGATAATCGCTTGCAGGAATAGTTTAGGAGACAACTGGAGTGAATTACAGAATTTAATAATAACATTTCAGGTGGTCATCCACGTAATTGGAATTCTGTACGAACAATTTGTATGGATGTATTGGACAAGATTCGAGTGAGAATTGACGAAGAGAATGCGAGAATTCGGAAAGAAACTTTCGCGAGTTTGGTAAGCGTGATAATTTTATTGATAATAGTGATAGTAATTTGAATTTCGTTTGTTTGAATTGAGGCTGTTGAGAATTGAGTTGGGTTTATTCTTGTGGTTATCTTCTGAAGTCTGTATGTGCTTTATAGAATCGGCTTTCGAACAATGGCTATCTGATGGGAGGGATGCCAGGCAGTAATGGTGGCGGTCCAACAATGCTTTTGCCGAATCAACTTCGCAAAGGTTCTGCACTCGTTTGAGTTTTATTTNGTAACGGCACTGGAGGAGACTCTTGCGATACTTTCCACTGAAAGTTTGTTTTGTTATTTTTATGATATTATTCATATTGTTGTTATCATGACTATTGTTAATATTTATTGTCTTATTGTGTTAATATTGGTTCGTATTATTTTTATTGATCTTGTTATTTAATTAAGGTTTATGTATGTTGGTGTGGCACTCGTATGAAGAAGACCGATTCGGTGTGGTACAAAAAGATTTGGGAACGGTTATATCGCTGATGCTGAAATTGGTTGTTTCATTGGACAAGTATATTCACAATTTGAAACCAGTTAGTTCACATAATATCAGTTGTTTTCTTGGAATACCTGTCGAATTTGGTGTTTCTGATATTAATAATAATGTTAAAGAAAGAAATTATCTTAATGATATGACGATAATAATAATGATAGCAATGGTAATAATCGTGAGAATTGAATGGTGTGTTGTAGAGCCGGGAATCAGACCAACCAAAAGAGCAGTCAGCATCGAATAATTCAGTCTACTATACACTGGAAACAACAGTTTGTTCAGCACTGTCGAGGATTG